CCCCTCCCCCCAACGCACCATTCTTGAGCAGCACGTAGAGCAGGATGACACGCGCCTTGTCGTACGGGGCCACAGCTGAGTCCAGCAGCACTGGCACCAGCACCTTCATGGGGTCCTTCAGCCGCTCGCCATCTACATCTGACCCCATCGCCAGGTCCTGGGGGGCATACGAGTCAGCTCTGGCCTTGGGACCCCCCTCCCTAACCACAGGGCACCGTCCTGCTGCACCCCTGTCGCCACTTGCCCTGGAGGGCATGGGAACCTCTCTGGCAGGGTGGGGGCTGATGGAACAGACACCCCCCCTTGCTCCAAGTTGAGCTGAGGGGGGCCGTCCTCCTGCCCCCTGCCCCAGTCCTGGCACCCACCTGCTCCACACTACACAGCTTCTCCACAGTGCCCTTGAAGCGCCGCATGCAGTCCTCAGCCAGGTTCAGGTGGGTGGAATACTGTAGACACAGCCAGGTGGGGAGGGAGGGGGCAGTAGGACCCATGCCAGACCCCTGACCCATGGTGGCTGCCCCCCGCACCCTGCTGGGACTCTGCCTGTGCCCACTCCCCCCACTCCACCCCCACCCGGCTGGCCCAGGACTCCCTGAGGAGACTGGCAGGGTGAAGAGGCAGCCCTGGGTGCTGGGGGCTGCACCGTGCTATCAGCTGGTGGCACGAGCCAGTGCCAGGACCCTAACTCTTCCTGGCCTAGGCAGGACCCTCAGGAACCCTCCTGCCACCCAGTACCTTGTTCAGCTCTTTCTGATACTGTGGCATCTTCTTCAGAATCTGGGACAGGTCCTTGATGTTGGCCTGGGGGGTGCGGTGGGGGGGCCCGTGAGACTCAAAGGGGCCTGGCCTTGCTGCCCCTTCCCCCCACCCTAACCCTAGCACCCTGCCAATGGGGCTCCCTGTGCCGGGGAGAGGGGAGCTCGGCTCTGCTCAGCCTGACTCTCAACACCCTCCTCTGCCCCCCCAGCCCAGCTTGGGGGCTCCCGATTCCCCTGCCTTGACTTTCCCACCTCCTCCCAGCACCCCATGCCCAGGTCTTATCTCCATGCCCCCCTCAGCCCCCACCCCTGCCCGCACCATGTCGTCCCCCCG